GCAACAGAAAAATACGTGAGGTCATTTATTTTGCTTTTTAACTGGCTGTATGAATTACTGGCCACATCAAAAATGCATTGCTGAATGGTTGTTCTTGAGAGACTAATGTGTTTAAAAGCATTTTTGACTTCTGGGCGAAGTACATCACAGACCTCCATCATACAGTCCTTAGCAAATTCGCAACGAAGGGGTGAGCAGATTTTGCGACGAGTTTAGCAATCCTGTAGCTAGCAATGCTACATGCATCAGACTGCTTTCGTCTCTTTTCGAACGCACCTTCAATCTTTTGTTTTCTCTCCTCACCTTGTAAATCGCTGAGTTTTGGGTGTTTTGTCTCGTAATGTCTCCGTAAATTATATTCCTTTGCCACGGCCACGCATTCCAAACACACCAGACATGAGAAAACGCCATGGTTTGCTTCATAAAAGAAGTACTTCGATGTCCGTTATGGGTTCAATTTCCTATGTTTGAGATCAACTTTTCTTTTTTTACCCATACTTGGTTTTGACAAAGACATGTTGCTGCTGAAGTAACTTGGATTAACCTATTTATTGCTGTAGGTTTTGTTTTTGTTGCTGCAGTTTTTGACAATAGTTTACCAAAACAAAATATAGAATCACGTTCATTACATGACCGTACTTTATGACTATGGGCGGGAGAATGAGTCAGATGTTTGAAAGTAAACACTAGGGGGCAGTGTTTCACATTTTCATGAAACTGCCCAGTGAATTTGACGTGCCAGCTATATTTATTTAAAAATGCGTCAGTACTTTCTTTGGCGGGCCGGAGAGAGTGTCTTGCCAGGCCATATCTTGTGCACCCCTGTGATATTACCTGTGGTAATATTTTTGCCATATCACCCGCTGGATGATATATATTGTCTATACTGTTGTATTGACATTGGTGTCACAGGACAATACTGGTTTTGAATCTCTCAGAGCAGAGCGTCTCTCTGTAGTCTGTGAGAGTGAAATACAGCTATTTATTATGTTTGAAGAATGCCAGGACACCAGTGTTTACAAACTGCAGCTCAGAAATGATGACCGCTTCATGCATAAACATGTGCTCATATGTACATGCATGAAATAAAACTCATGCTTTGCAGCAGCCGCCTCAGTGGAGTCCAGTCCAATCCAGACAGTATACAGGCGTGATGGCTCACTCCTCATAGGCGCACATCATTTTAAACAAGATAGTGAGTGTGTTTAGATGCACTTAATAATCCAATAACCGCAGAAAATCAGATTTTGTAAGTAATCTGATCAGCGCGTTTACATGCGCTTGAGTAATCAGATAATGGGGAAACTCCAGGTCTACATGAGTCAAACAGTAATCAGATTTCTGCTTTACAACCAGCCAATAAACTCACAGAAGAAGACGTGATGTAAACGTAACGTAAACTCAAACTTCAGGCTGCAGCTTTTTTTTTTTAACGTCGCTTTACCTGAAAATATAAACATACATCATCTAGAAGATGAAGAATATTTAAATCCTTCATTTCGTCAAGCATGTATTTGGTCGCTTTAAAGGTGCTTTGCTGTGTCTCGCGGCGACACTGCTCGCTTATTTTCCGGTACCACAGTCTGATCTCGCACATGTGCAGACTGAGAAATCTGAAAGAAATCAGAGTAAGAGTTCACATGCACTGAGAAATCTGATTACTGAGCTAAAACCCAGCCTCTTTATCAGATTTCTTAATCGGATTTCTAGATCGGAGTATGGTGTTTACATGACCATTTGAATAATCGGATAACTGCAGAAATCAGATTATGATTGGAATATTGAGTCCATGTGAACACACTCAGTGATTATTTAGTCTCTCAGTCAATGTTTAGTTACCACTCAAGGTGGAAAGCAATGGATTCACATTGACTTTTGATTAAATATTGAATTTTATGTTGATTAGCTGGGAAAATCAGATGCACATCTCTCAGTAAATAATAACCATCAAGTATTTATTCAGACAAGCGAGAGTATAAACAGTATTTTATATGTGAAAATGTATAAAAGAAAATCTGGGGGAGCCAGTTTGAGTGGGCCTGATGCAGCTGATAAAATGAAAAATAATATTATCTGTAATTTTTCAGATGGTGTGCTTAAGTTTGTCAGCATTTATGTTAATGTTAATATTCACTTCTATTGAAAATATTCTATTCAATTAATATTGTTTGTTCAGTACAGATCTACTTTTTCTTACAGTGACAGATGGAGCTCTTTTAAAGGAGGGTGGATTGCAGTGGGAGCTCTGGTGTGTCAGGTGTGACTGTGTGGCTATTGCAAATGGTTTACATGACTCAAGGTTCAAATAGTAGGGCCCCTTTACAGGGGGGAGGTCAGGACCGACTCTGCGTTTAGAACAAAAAGTTTTGCAGTGACGAACCATTTGGTATCTTTATCATTGACCTGTCGTTTTGTATTGTTTAGAAAAAAAGGTTTTGAACTAAGCCATTATTTCCATCGAGTAAGTACAACTAACAACTAGGTCACGGATGCCTGTCATATCACTGGGATTTGAGCTCACATCCCAGTAGTGAAACTCTTTATTTATTTAAAGCCTTCGCTGGTTGAGTTACGCTGTACAGCAGCCCTGAATGGTTGCGTTAGGCTATGATTGGTAGAAAAAAGCTTCAGACCCCGAAACTTCACAGATCAGTCAGGGGATCTGCAAGGAAGTGGACTGACAGGCCTGCATGACTGAAATACTGAACCATCACTTTAATTGGAGACACCGACTAGAAACATAGAGGAAAATATCAAATCCTTTCCACCCATACCCTTTAGTATTAAATGGCCCCTATCCTACATTTCAGTTTTATTTTATTTTATTTTTTCCCTGAGGAAAAACTTAGGGCTTATGGATTTGTGTATCAAACACAGTCATAACTCATTTTTACATTCTGTTCCAGGTAATTCTTAGTTGTTACTGTGCGTCAAAGACTGCAAATGACCTCTGTTCTGATTGGGTGCACTGTTCCTCGCTCAAAAAAGCAGTCCAAGCTGTAACACCCCCAGCGTGTGTGGGTGGGGCTAAACCGAATAAACTGAATGGGTGGATAAATGTAAATGTGTTTCATACAAACACCATGAATTTAATATGGGCTGCTTTTGTAGCTTAATTTTCATACCTGGACTGTATGAGTGAATGGTTCGTTTTGAAACTTGTTTTCATACCACATCAATGTTTTCTGTAAAAATCAAGGAAAATTCAGTTTTCTATGATATTAGCCCTTCAACATCAACATTAAACTTAATTTGTAGGCACATAATTGATGACAGAAGCATCTTTGTGCTCTAAAGCGTGTATCTGCCCTGAAAGGGTGCATGTTGGCAAAGAGTGAAAAAGTAACCACAGATGAATTTTAAACAGTAATGAACGAGATCATGACTTTCAGAGCCAAAGGAATATAAGAGGAGGAGCGTATAAAAAGAGAGAGAGAGAGAGAAAGACAAAGAGAGGAGATGAAAGAGTATTCTTTTCTTTCATGTTGTTATGCATAGGCTATGCTCCTCGTTCCATGTGCATGTGTTATTGACAAAAAGGATCTGAGGATCCATTAAAGGTTCTACATGTGATATTTGAAACATTAATATAATAGCAAACAGCTATTGTCTGTGTAAAGGTATAGTGGAGTGATGGCATCCTGAGCAGTGAATAATATCACTCTGCCTCTGTGTGTGTTGGAATCTGCGCTTCTCTGTTTTTTTGTTGTCATAGCTGGGCCGGCCATGCGTGCATGTTAGTCCCACCCTGTGAATAACATTGGCCCTCCCCACGTTTTGCTTTGCCCACCCCAGACACCTTCCAAATATTCCATATATGAATATTCCTCGAAGTTGACATGGTTTTCAAATATTCTTCCAGCAGATATTTCTCAAAGTTGACGAGGACTTTAAAAATTCCTCCACCGAATTTTCCTCGAAGTTGATGAGGCTGAAGTTGGCTACCCATTCGCATTTTCCCAGTCCACCTTAGATCGTGCAGCAGTTCCATTCTACACTTAAGGTGCCTGAATGTAACTGCCGCACCATTTAAGGTGGAACAGGGAAATTAAAATCATCGAGAGAGTTGGAACAGCATGAAAAGGGATGAGGAGGTTGCCCTGTTTCTGTGGGCAATGTTAACTTATTTGTGCTGGTTTACAGAGCGACTAGGTCAGTATTGTTCTGTGCTGTTTGCTAATGTTTGTGATAGCAACTGGTTAGCTTGATAGCAACAGTTTGCTAACCCACAACCTAGCTAACATTAGGTACATTACTTGCTGCATTTGTTCGGTCTAACATTGTATCATGGTATTTGTCCGTACAGTGTTTGTGAAGGGATTTATGGCCATGAAGACCTAAAAAAACAAGTTTGCTAGCCCAGTGTCATTCACCTTGGCAATGCACCTCCACGATTTTGGGGGGCGGGGCTTCTGAAGCAGCACTGAAGGGAAGGGTATATTTTTTTTTTGTTATCGAGTTAAAATATCAACAGTCGTTCAACAGAATCGTATAGTGCACCTTTAAGTGTAAATGACAGGAGAAGTTTCACTCTCGTTTACTGTCTGTGATGCATTGCAGTGGATTTTCCTCTTCTTGAACCCCACAAACTCTAAACACATTTGTGTTTGTCAGTAGAAGAGGATACATTTTATAATGTTTTGAATTTAGTGAAAAGTTATTGCTGTGTTTACAGTCTTGTTTGTACAAAAATATAAAAACAATTATTTACCTTTTTCTTTTTTTTCGTCATAGTTTCACATGAAAACAAACAGGAAATAAAACAACAGTGCAGACTCAAACCTGTCAATACAGGTTGTGAACAAAATATAATTGTATTTCATCATATTATGCAATTATGTAATTAATTATATAACTATGCAGTCATGTATAACTGATCAGGTAATGTTAATAGAATGGTTTGCAAAACACCACCAACAGACTTCTGAGGGTTAAAGTTATTGCTGAGATGGATTAATAATCCCCTCTTCTGCCTTGTTCTCTCTCTTTTTCTCTCCCAGCTGCAGAAACTGAAGCGCTCCCTTTCCTTCAAGTCTGTCATGCGGAGTAAAAGCGTCGATAACTTCTTCCAGCGAACGAACTTTGAGGCTCCGCCTCCCCCTGACCTCATCGCTGAGTCTCCGCCCCCTGTGATGGAGTCCCCCTCTCCACCACTCTTTCAGGAGCGCCCTTTGACTTTTGACCGGTCGCCATCTTTGTCGCCGTCCATCAGTCCGAACCCCTCGCTGTCTTCTCGTTCACCTTCAGTGAGCCCCTCCATCTCCATCAACTCGAAAGCCCCGCCCCAGTCGCAGCCCCACCCACAGAAAACACACTGTTTCCAGGAATACGTGTTTCGCCGACCGACCGTCTGCCAGCAGTGCAAGCAGGTGATCACAGGTATACACACCCATACACACACATGTGCAGTGTGAACTGAGCGTGTTTTATAAAGTCCTAAAATCTGATTGGCTGAGCTGCGTTCAAAGCCACTGTGAAATCCACGATATATGCACACCTGTGACCGCCTCACAGCAACTGGACTCTGTATCACTGAGCCACAGCACAAAAAACACTTGTGCTGTTAATGGAATAATCTTTCATGCTGCTCACCTGGAGCACCGAGTATATTGATGAAGTAAGAACCCGTTTTCTGTTTAAACTGAGCGGCTGAGAACCTGTATTCTTAACTAGAACTATGCTGGTCAGCTAGCTAACAGGCTAAAAGAGCCAACGGCCTAAACAGCTCCATCATTAGTATCACAGGCTTGAATTAAAGCACTTACGGTTTGATTAACTACAAAACTGCAGTATAAAAGTCTAAAAACGTCACTTGAATGTCTCACACACTTCGAATGTTTGTGTTTCAGTCAGAAGTTGCGTCAAACCCAGGCTGAATCCCAAACGGCTCTGTACTCCCTAAATAGTGTTCTAGCTATGAAAGTTTACAAATTCTAGCCTCTACAGCCAAACAGTGCATCATTTATCAAGTGTGGATGAGTCTGAGTCCCAAATGACTGTTTCTTAGCTGTATTTTGCTCTGTTGTGCTGCAGGATCCAGTATTTAAACTCCTACATAGTGCACTATGTAGGGAGCAGGGAGCCGTTTGAGACTCAGCCCCAGTGTGAGAAGAGGGGCGCCGCTGGATTGGTGCTAAATAAGACTCGTGGTGCTAATTTGTGACCAAAAAGTACTTGTAAAGCGAAAGTTTCTGCATTAAGCAGTGCTGTGTTATCATATGTTCGTTGTTATATTACAAAAGTTATTAAATTCATGAAATGACCGCAGTGTACAGCGATGGGCGACCAAACGTTCTCCTCATACTGTGGTCCATGGTTGCTTGGCAACAGTACACTAAAGGAACTACATTTCTTAGTGAAATGCTTGTTTTATGTCAATTATTATTAATGAAAGCTTAGATCATTTTTGGAAAAATTGTGTATTTCATCATATTTTATGTTGGCTGCCGTTTTCTGAAAGCAAAAAGCCACTTGAGGCTGTGTGGTTTTTCTGCTTCACTTCATGCCTAAGAACACCGTTCCCGTGATATTATTGCTTTATTAGGCTCTGTAGAGCTGGATTAGTTTTCCCAGAGGAGGCTGTGTAATGTAATTTGGGTTTGATTGGCTAGTTGGTTTGGTTAGTATCTGTGTCATTTCCCCAAATTAAAAGGTCATTGCATGTTTTACGTCAGCATTACGCCACAGGACACACTCAGTAACAATGTTGCACATCCCTGTCTGCTATCTGGTAGTTATTCCATTAGTGTGAGATGGACTGGAACAGACTGTAAAAACTACAAACAGTGTAGATTCATACTGGATTCAAATCACTGATCTCGGTAGTCTTGTAAATTACAGAAATTCCCTAGCTAATTCAGCTCAGATAAATATTTATTTAGTTTAATCTCTTAAGTCTTCTCTTGCTGGACAGTCTTGAACACTGGTTTAAGTTATCTGGATTGCTGAAAAATACCCTCAGCCGGGACTGGGCCACTAAATGAACAAACTCTTCTACATAATTATGTGTTCATTACTAGAGGGGAACTAATTAATTGTGCAGCAACATATGGGCTACAGTAGGCCAGCAACGGAATCCTCTTATTCGGATAACTCTATTTTTCCCTTTGCTTTACCTTTTATTCGACAAAGACAAGCTTCATAAGAGTTTCTAATAAAATGGCCAGGTGAGTTAATAACAGATGAGACATGTAGCTACAGGTAGCATAAATACCACAAAATAGTTTTATACGCTTAAAAAATAGTTGAATGTAAATAGATGTAAATAAAAACAGAATGCAATGATTAGCAAATTTCATAGACATATATTTTATTCACAAGAGAACACTGAACACGTATCAGATGTTGAAAATGAGTCATTTTACCATTTCATGAAAAACATTAACTCATTTAGAACTTTATGGCAGCAACACATCTCAAAAAAGTTGGGACAGGGGCAACAAAATGCTGGAAAAGTAAGTGTTACTAATAAAAAACAGCTGGAGGAGCAATTTGCAACTAACTCACATGATTGAGTATAAAAAGAGTATTTTAGAGAGGCGGAGTCTCTCAGAAGCAAAGATGGGCAGAGTTTCACCAATCTGCGAAAAATTGCATCTAAAAATTGTGGAACAGTTTCAGAAAAATGTTACGTAAAATTGCGAATGCTTTGGATATTTCACCATCTACAGTACATAATATCATCAAAAGTTTCAGAAAATCTGGAGAAACCCCTTTACGCAAGGGGTAAGGTCAAGATTGGATGCTCATGATCTGTGAACACAGTTCGCTGTGCAATCCACAAGTGCAAATTAAAGCTGTATCATGCAAAGAGGAAGCCATATGTCAACACGATCCAGAAACGCTGCCTTCTTCTCTGGGCCAAAGCTCGATTTGAAATGGACTGAGGCAAAACGGAAAACTGTTCTGTCAGATGAATCAAAATTTGAAATTCTTTTTGGAAACCACGGACGTCGTGTCCTGCGGACGCAAGAGGAGATGGAGCATCCAGCTTGTTATCAGCGCACAGTTAAAAAGCCTGCGTCTCTGATGGTCTGGGGTTGCATTAGTGCCTATGGTGTGGGCAGCTTACACATCTGGAAAGGCACTATCAATGCTGCACAGTATATGGAGGCTTTAGAACATCCAGACAGCATCTCTTACAGGGAGGGTCTTGCATATTTCAGCAAGACAAACCACATACTGTATCCATCACAGCAGCATGGCTTCACAGAAGAAGAGTCCGGGTGCTAAACTGACCAGCCTGCAGTCCAGACCTTTCACTAATAGAAAACATTTGGCGCTTCATGAAATGAAAAATCTGGCAAAGAAGACTCAGGACTTTTGAGCAGTGAGAATCCTACATCAGACAAGAGTGGGACAACATTCCTCTCCTAAAACTCCAGCAATTGGTCTCCTCACTTCTCAGACGTTCACAGACTGTTGTTAAAAGAATAGGAGATGCTACACAACGGTAGACACGGCCCTGTCCCAACTTTATTTAGATGTGTTGCTGCCATCAAGTTCTAAATGAGTTAATATTTTTCATGTAATGGTAAAATGTCTCACTTTCAGCATCTGATATGTGTTCTGTGTTCTATTGTGAATAAAATATGGGTCTATAAGAAAAAATCATTGCATTCTGTTTTATTTACATTTATTTACATTTTACACAGCATCCCAAATTTTTTGGAACTGGGGTTGTACATTCAAACTAACACAGCAGAGTCAGCATATTTTGACTTTGTTAACTCAGCATAAACGCAACAGCAATTAATGTTGACGTATCTTCAGTTCAAATAAATAAATAAACCTCCTTTTTTGTGTTTATTCTCTCTTTCTCACTCTCTCTGTAGGGAACTCGAAGCAGGGTTTGCGCTGCAAGACATGTAAACTGGGAGCTCATCTTTGGTGTTCTTCTGAGCTTTCCCAGCAAGTTTGCAATGGCAAGGTGAGTCTCTCTTTCTCTCTCTGTCTTACTTTCTCTCTCTCTCTCTCACTCTCTCTTTCTCTCTCTCTCATACACACTTACGCACAAACAGAACTGTGACCTTATCAGCTTCTCCTGTTCTGAGCTCACACAGTGAAACAAAACATCCGCTATAGTGTCTTGCTCATACCACTGCATACACGCTCACTCAGACATAATGAAGTCTATTTTTACGCTCTGTTCTCCGGATCTCCATGTTGATATTCCAGCTTTTTCCAGAAATAGCCCAATTAATACCACCAGTCAGTTGGGTGCTGCCTTCTGCATCCCACTGTTAGTTGACCGCAGTAGTGTTTTAGGTGTCATCAGGCTGACAGTGCCTGAGAGAGATAATAATAATGAGCGTGTGAGTCAGCGAAGAGCCGGCGTTTGGTCCTCACTGACTGAACAGCCTCTTCTTCACCATTATCTCACTTTAGTAAACTGGGTCAACGAGGCCGCCGGCGTTTAGCCTGAGAAAAAGAGAAGAAAAACAATGTTTAGGCGAGTGAAAACGTCAAAAGTGTATTCTATGTATCTGATATTTCTCGTTATGGAATTGTTGTGAGAATATTATAAGATTATTCAATCTATTTCCAGACATTTTACTTATATGAAGTGATTTTATCAGGTCAGATTATCTGACTGCGCAAGAAATAGGCTGAATAATATTGCCTACTTTGGATATCTTGCCTATATTTATATTAGATATTTTGCTTGAGATAACATTTTTTTCCAGGCTGCGCATAACAGAGTTCAAACAAGGAGAGTGACTTAAGAAGATCTCCCAGAAGGAGGGAGGGCAGAGGATGGGAAAGAGAGAGAGCAGAAGAGATAAGAAGGGATAAATGATCCCAGATGAGTCTGAATTAGTGATATAGGAGTAGCAGGCAGGTTCTGTCAATGGAGGGCGGCCGATAATGTTACTGAGTATCCCTCTCTGCATCTCTCTGTCTCTGTCAGTCTTTCTGTCTCTCTCTTACCCTCTCTTTCTTTGTCGCTCTTGCTGTCTGCAGTCTTTTATCAGCCCTGTCGTTTTTTTCTCTCGCTCTCTGTCCTCCTTCTCCTTGTGTCTCCAACCTTGCTGCACACCTAAAAGTCAGTAAGTGAATCAATATCTTGTCAGAGCAGACGGTGTGTCCAATACTGCGTGTAATTCAGAGAGAGCAGGAGGCGTCCATGGCCAGCGTCCAGAGAGGCAGCTGAGCCGTGTGCTCGGACAAACCGCATTCATAAATGAACATGTTGGTCAGTTTGTGTTGTATAATGCCATGAGTTTCAGCACCTTATGAAAGTTTTGCCTGGAGAACTTAATAACATGTCCAATGGAAATTTTCCATTAAAAAGCTGTTATAATCCAGGGCTGGGCTTTACCTGGGCCTGAGTAATTTAAAGGGCCTTTTTTGCTGTAGGCTGTAAAAAATGTTATAGGTCGATATGAAAATGAATTATGGGAAGCAGTTGCATTGTTTTTTTGTGTTTTCATGAAACCAGTGCATTTACATCTGCTTATTTAGCCTAAAGCCATTCAGCCCTGCCCATTTTCACTGTAGTTATAAGGAGGCATTCAGCTTATACTACTTTTCGAATGAGGTCAAATACAGGACAGCCAATCAGACCACATAACATTTACATATGGCTATTGTCGGAAGAAAACCTCATATCTCCATTTTTGACATTTTTCAGCTTTTGACATAATTTAAAAATGCCTGTTAACCTTTACGTACTGTATGTAAATTTCATGATGAATGGACCAAAAGAAACGGCCCAGAATTACTTGGAAAAAAGTCTGGTTCCATTGACTTACATTCAAAGTAAAGTATGTGTTTTCTTTCTCCTGTAAAGTTACCATTTTAGAGATATGAGGATTTCTTCTGACAACAGAGAAATATCAGCCTTAAATCGAGTAACAAAAAACAGCAAGTTCAATTCTGAAAGATAAAGAGATGTTAAAAATGAAATGTTCTGGTAAATAAACCCAGATAATCTCCCCTTTAATGCTACAAAGTCTTCACATACAGCTTCCAGAATTATGGACACCCTTTCTATAGGTCAGGGGTCGGCACCATGCGGCTGTTTTACTGCCCTGTTGTGGCTCCACAGCAGAATCAGATTTGTAGGTAAAAATAAAATAATCCTCCTTTACAGTAAAATAAAGCTCTGCTGATCGTTCAACACAGTTTAACAATAAACGGTCTTAAATGTTGGGGTTAATGTAGAACTGCTAATTCACCCTTTAACCCTGAAGATCAGCACAGACTGCTGATCACCATAGCAACACAGACAACAATCTGGGCAAGCTAAAAGATAATGAAACGGCAAAGAGAAAGATTTAAGATGAACACTGATTATTTGGTGACAAATGGACTCATTTGCATTTATAATCACTCCAGCTGATTTCCTGATACGTTTAATCTGCAACAAGAAACTCTCAAACACTAAAGAGTCACAAAGCTTAAGTCAGATTCTCGTTTGCCAGCTTCTTAGCCGTTCCACCTTAAATGGTGCAGCAGTTACATTCTGGGGCCTCAGATACTATTTAACGTGGAATGGGAAAATTCAAACCAGAAGCTGGCAAATGAGAAGCGACTTCAGCCTCATAAAAAGTCAAACGCTGAGAGACATTTTACAAGAAACTGTTCTACTTTTGAGGAAAAGTTTCCTGCCAGAGATGTGAGAAAAGCGGCTATAGCTGAGCTAAAGCTTAAAGCAGAGTAAGTCTGTGTTTTCGTTTATATTATATTTTTAGTCTATACTAGTACATCAGCACATACTGAGACATATTTACAGCCATGATGGTAAAATGGACATATTGTGGCTCCCAAGGTGGTTTACATTTTGCTGAAAGGACAAAATGGTTCTACATAACATTTCGGTTGCTGACCCCTGGTATAAGCCAAGGGGAAAAACAAACCTTTGTTGATTATGAATCTGATCTCACAACGAAAATAGATGGAATTCAAACTGTTCAGCAAACGATATTGTGTGTGGTGCAGTCGTTTTACACAAGTCTGTGTCACATAGGTTGAGAGTGGATCATCACTCAAAAATATCCAGCCAGGAGCAGCTCTGTGGTCATAACTGACCACTGATGAAGGGCTAGCAAATGTGCACAAATAGATACAATTCAGAAGTGCGCTGATAAGCGTTGTTTTAACCTATATGTAATGTAAATGGACCTGCTTGCCTTCAAATTTTGACTTTGTTCAAGTAATAAGTTGACAGAATATCATACAGGTTACTCTTCTGCAAACTTACTATGAGAAGTTCAGTTAAAACAGAAAATTTTAAGGCAGCCCAGGAACTTACTTTAAGTTACCTAAAGGGTCTCTAATGAAGTGGACAGGGAGTTAATGGTGCTGCATGTTGATAATCAGCATTGAAAATGGTCAAGATGAAGACGCTAGAAATGTAATACTCTGTGGTTTTTGTTGCAGGAGCTCGGGTGAGATGGCTCGAGCTTGTTCTCTCAGAAGTGTGGCGTTCTCTGCCAATTTGAATCAATTATTTAGAGCTTTCAGTGTGAATTCTGCACTTGCTCTTGTTCAGGCTCTCAGTGGAGCAGTGCCTGTGTGTGTGTGTGTGTGTGTGTGTGTGTGTGTGTGTGTGTGTGTGTGTGTGTGTGTGTGAGAGAGAGATATAATGAGCCAGTTAAGAAAAACTTCCAGTTCACCTCCCGGAGCCAAGATCTCTCTCTCTCTGGGGCTCCGGCTGCTGATTCGTCGTCTGCTTTTGTGTCAGTATCAGCAATTATGAGACCTTCGCGTTCTCAGGGTCCGGTACTGCTGACCTCCACTTTTGACACCATGCATTTTTCTGAGGTCCCTTATGGCCATGTTGGCCATTTGTTAAGTAAGATATTTGGAAAGAATAGCAACTTGAGGACAAGTGCAACATCCTCGGTTATTGACCTTCTGTAAAGGCTGTAGGTCATCATATTGTTTCCCTCTCTCCTTTCTTTGCTGGCTGTGCCACTCTCCAATAGATTTGTTTACATAAATATATATTTTTACAATGTCGTTCCTTATATATTTTATTGCTTATATAAGGTAATGTTCATATTTATTTAAAAAAAATATATATATATACAACCGCATTTCCAAAAAAGTTGGGATGCTGTGCTGAATGTAAATAAAAATAGAATGCAATGATATGTAAATCATCTAAACCATATTTTTTAAGGAAAATAGTTTTTTGACAAATATATGCCCATTTTGAATTTGATGCCAACAACACGTACCAAAAAAGTTGGGATGGGGGCCTGTTTACCACTGTGTTTCATCACCTCTTCTTTTAACAACACTCTGTAAGCGTTCGGGAACTGAGGAGACACTGCTGTAGTTTTGAAAGTGAAAAGTTTTCCCGTTCTTGTTTGATACAGGATTTCAGCTGCTCGACAGTTTGGGGGCTCATTTGTTGTATTTTTCATTTCATAATGCGCCAAATGTTCTCAATGGTAACAGTTTAGCACCCAAACTCTTTTAGTACGGAGCCATGCTGCTGTAATATGTGCAGAATGTGGTTTGACCTTGTCTTGCTGAAATAATCAAGGCCTTCCCTGAAAAAGACTGGATGGCAGCATATGTTGCTAAAACGTATACATCGTTATATCATATATAGCATTAATGGTGCTTTCACAGATATGCACGTCATTCATGCCATGTGCACTAATGCACCCCCAGACCAACATGAATACTGCCTTTTGAACTGTACACTGATAATAAGCTGAGTGGTCTTTAGCCCAGAGGACACAGTGTCCATGATTTCCAAAAAGAATTTCAAATTTTGATTTGTCGACCACAGGACACTTTTCCACTTCACCTCAGTCCATTTTAAATGAGCTCAGGCCCAGAGAAGGTGCCAGTGTTTCTGAATCCTGTTTATGTACAGTTTCTTCTTTGCACTTTAGAGTTTTAACTTGCTTTTGTGGCTGCAGTGATGAACTGTTTTCACAGACAGTGGTTTTCAGAAGTGTTTCTGAGCCCATGCAGTGATTTCCACTACAGAACCATGTCTGTTTTTAATGCAGTGCTGTCCCCAAAGATCATGGCCAGCTAACATTGCTTTTCAGCCTTGTCCTTTGCATACAGAGATTTCTCTGGATTCTCTGAATCTTTTGATGTTATTATGTACCGTAGATGATGAAAAGCAAAAGTTCTTTGCTATTTTACGTTGAGAAACATTATTCTTGAATTGTTGCACTATTTGACGGTGCAGTCTTTCACAGAGTGGTGAACCCCTCCCCCCAGGTGTTTAGCATTACCCAACTTAACCAGCCTTTTGTTCCCCCTTTTTTGTAACATGTTGTTGGCATCAAATTCAAAATGGGCAAATATTTTTCAAAAAACAATAAAATTTTCTCAGTTTCAACATTTGATATGTTGTCTTTGTACTATTTTTAATGAAATATGGGGTTTGAATAAATTGCCCATCATTGTATTTTGTTTTTATTTACATTTTGCACAGCATCCCAACTTAATTAGGGAAATAGGGTTGTACATCTCTTTTAAAAAAATATTTTTTATATTATCTCTCACTTTGTCTCCAGTATATTTTTACATTTTCTGTTTGGAAAACACAGGTTTTTGTATTTCTATACACAGATTTTTGTGTATATATTGTTTAAATTTACAAAACACCAAACCATTTTTTTACTGTGCTCACAAAAATATCCATCTGTGATGTTTATCCACCCCGAGCTGCCACATTGTCTTGTGAGTCGACAGCTTTTGACTCAGCAGCACCTAATAGGTGCAATTATATTAGACTGTGTGAGTAGAGAGAGGAGGCAGCAGTGCTCGAGTCAGACGCGCTCAGCAGAGGTAATGAGCAGTGAAATTACTCCTATAACTCACATACAGCATCACACGCATGCGCTCAGGAAATAGAAAGCCTTCATTTATTGACCACCCCCTGCTTTTGGCAGGGAGATGCGGCAGCGATGAGTGGATGAAAAGTGATGCAATTATGCTGTTCTTCTCCCTTCAAATCACAACTGGGTTTAGCCAGCATGGATCATATGTCACAGGATAACAATAGCGCATTTTCTTTCTTCCATTTCTTTTCTTAGAAGAGTTTAAACAGAACGAATCTGCTTAAAATGCCCAGCACATACACTCACCATCCACTTTATTAGAAACCCCTGTCTTCTATGTACCTCACAGGCCACTTTATGAGCTCCATCTGTCTTACAGATCTGCTTTTATAGGTGCAGTTATGGACTGTAGCCCATCTGGTGCTGCAGAATTTATCAACCCCCTCTAAACTGTCACTCCAGGCTTTTTATTTTACTGTTCTGTTTTAAAACATTAGATTATGAAAAGGTACAAATATGAACTTTTCACCTGGAAAAACAGAACCTTTATTTCTAATAGCGTAGACTACTTTTCGAAAGAGGTAAAATACAGGACAGCCAGTCAGATCACAGAACATTTACATATATCAGCCTTAAATGAACAGTAACAGAAACAGCCTGTCGAATTCAGAAGGACAAAGAGACATTCAAGATGAACTAGTTCATTAGTGTATCCAGTTCACTAGATATTGTTTGGGTGGTGGATCATTCTCAGCAAAGCAGTGACACTCAGCAATGTGATCATTATCTGATTTCATGATTTATCAGATTGTTATTGGATTTCAAGAAACGTGGCACATGTATACCGTTAATCTTATATTCTCAGTTTTACAAATTCTGCCCATCTGTAGAGATGAGATGTCTGCCCAGATAGAGATGAGATGCAAAATCTGATTTTTTTAAGTTATTAGATCATTAGATTATGTATATGTAAACATACTCATTGAAATGGTAGTGGCATGGCAGTGCGTGTGATCAGCCTGGACGATAGAGCAGTGTAATTGGATATCTGCAATAACTGAAAAGTAAGCCCATGACGATGCTTTGAAGGCTGTAACGTTTATTCTCTTTTATTTTTAAAACAATGCATTATTATGGAGGACTAATAAGCAGTTATGCTGTGATATAGTAAATTGTCCACTGTCTCTTCTGGCAGTGTCCCAGAATGCACCTTCCCATCTGAGCATTCTGAGCATTTTCAGTAAAGATTAAGTTTTAATGTTATGAAACTAATATGTCATTGTTTCCCACAGGCATCTAGAGCCGAATATCAGAGCAATTCCATTATAACAGCATAAAATGCCTCGATTCTTTAATATGTAAAGCACATAGACGTGTCTTTGGACCTCGATCATTTACAGCATGTGCTTCAGTCTGACGTTTTTGAGGCCACTCTATAAACACATGAGCTTTTGCTAGTAATAATTTTCAGAACGAGAGATCAAGGAATAATCAAAAAATGGTTTGTGACTTAATATTATTAAATGTGTGTTTTCATTAAAGATTTTCGTAAAATCAGTTAATGTAAAAAAGCATATGAGCAAAAAATATAATAGAAACTAGACAAGAGCTGCAGCTGATTGTGTGTGTATTTGTTGGAGGTGGAGTGTGGGGCGATATTAACAAGAAAATATTGTACTAATTATTTTTAGATAGTGCCCAGGCCCAGTGTTCGGCACTGCCAGCTGAGAGTTGCTGTTCCACTCTTTTCTCTAAATTTAGAGCCAAGACACACACACGCCATCCAGTAATACAGTTCATAGGCGCGAGGCACAAACACGCAGTCTGCTCGGCGTTTAGCATGAAGACGCCGTGAAACACACAAACAGAAACGCACACTTTCTCAGTGGACGGGTCTTAAAATAGACTCCAGCCGCAGCACTTTTCACCTTTAAGCTTGAGTAACAATGACATTCTAACGGGCATCTATTTCTGAATCCCTCTCTATCTCCTTCTCTCTCTCTCTCTCTCTCTCTCCCTTTTATCATTGTGTCATTCCTTCGACACCCCCCAGTCTCTCCATTCCTCACTGCTGTTTCTCTTTTTCCCCGTCTCATTATTACTGCCGCTATTTTTGGCTTTGCTCGATTCTCACTGTTACATTTCTTGTTGACTTGTAACTCTGCTGCTTGTCCCTCTTCTCTCTCCCCCTTCCGTCTTCTCTTTACCCTTCTACCTTCTCTCCTGTCATCTGCCAGTCGGGGGCATTCAAACGGAACTTCAGCTCACCTCTGCTCACCAATGACCTGTTTACAACTGTAAAGGAGGCTCCACCTCCCCAAGGTGAGAATAGAACCTGTGCTGCTTTCTTTGCTGACATTTCAGACTTTTATGACTTCTCCTTTACAAGAAAGGTAAGGATTTCCTTCAGGCGCCAGAGGAGATGGTCACCTGTCTTTTGTGTTGTTGCAAAATGTTCTACACTAGCCGTCCACTTTATTAGAAATCTGTATCATGTGTAAACCCAAGTCCACAAACGTTATAACAGTAGATGGAATACAGATAAAAACAGAAAGCAGTGATTAGAAAGTTCTGTTTGATTTATATTAAATTATTATTGGGTTTTTTTTGTAAATATATGCTTATTCCAAATATGATGCCTGCAACACATTCCCAAAAAGTTGGGACAGGAGCGTGTTTACCACTGTGTTACATCCTCGTTCCTTTAAACAACAAAGGAAATGTTTGGGGACTGAAGACCACTATTGATCCAGTTTGGGATCTTCAGCTGCCCAATCATTTGGGGCCTTCATTGCTGTATTTTGCACTTCATAATGTACCATGTTGTCAATAGGAGACAGGCAAATCTAGCACTCTCTGATGGCTCAACCATGCTTTTGTAACGCATGCAGAATGTTTCTTGCCATTGTTATGTTGAAATAAGCATGGACATCCCTGAAACACACAACGTCTAAAAGGCAGCCAATGCTGTTCCGAAAAGTGTACATATCTTTAACCATAAATGGTGCTTTTACAGAAGTGCAGGTTTCCCAATAATAAACCCCTCATACCATCCCGGACCCTGACTTTTGAACTTTACGCTAGTAACAATCTGGATGGTTCTTTCATTCTTTGGTGCGATGCAAAGTGTGCATCAGATTTCAGATGAGCTTAAGCCCAGAGAACTCGGCGGCGTTTCTTGATGTTGTTAACACATGGCTTCCACTGTGCATAGTACAGCCTTAATTTGCATTTATGGATGCAGCAACAAACATTGTTTAAAAAGAATGGTTTATCAAAGTATTGCTGAGCTTGTGTGGTGACATCCATCACAGAACCATGCCGGTTTTTAATGCAGTGCCATCTGGGGGCATTTAATTCAGTTTCCAGGCCTTGCTTTTTATTTGCTTTTCACATACTGTCCCAACTTATTTGGAACTGGGTGTGTACTTCCACTTGCTGGCTACCTTTTTTTAGAAATCCTGACCCAGTACTCCCATTTTTTGGCCACTTTACAAGCTCCACCTACCTTACAGGTTGACAACAGACTGGCAGATGACAACAGAAGTCTTTAACAGAACACCAGTATTTATTTCTAATAAAGTGGCCAGCAAGTGTGCATTGATTGCAGGCAAACTCACTCCTATCATAGCCTATAATTTGCAGGCACCTACACACATTATCCACAACCTGCTGTGAGATATGTTTTTTTAGAACTATAAAATAGTACCAGATTTAAAACACTATAACATGGTTATTTTTCAAAAAAAATGTAGTCCAAAAAACATCAGCATGTTGCCCTTTAGTTAACCCTCTTTGTTTAAGCTGCTCTTTATACTTTTGAACTTGACCCTGTTTTGCCTTAAATTAGTCGGACTCTTGTTTTGACCCTCTGTCTGACCCTTGCCTGCTTTATTTAATATCAGTTTCATGTTCCAGCACTGCACACAAGTATAGTAATACATTGTTGTGTGTGTAGAGCACGGAAGAGGGACTGTGGACCCCATATATGAAGCCTTGAAATATGGAACGTCTCTCGCACACATGAGCCGCTCCAGTTTTGGCAGCATCTCGGAATCGCCGTGCCACCAGGTAACCCAGCAGAAACCTCATTCAGAATGACTGTGGTGTTCGTATGTTATTGCAGCTGTGACGGTTGATGATTAGAAGACATAAACATCTCTCAGTGATGACATAAACCCTTTAAACTCTGTGGTCAGTGAGTTGAAGTAAGGCTTTCTAATAAATTTGTGTAATGGTCACTTTTTAGACTAGACTAGCATCTCTTACAAGCCTGCAAGACTTAAACTCCGCCATTATCAGTTATATATTTTTCCAATTAATTACACTGTCTCTTTCTCACTCTCTGTCTCTCTCTCTAGAGTAACGGTGGAGAGGAGAAGTTAGAGAGCCAACCGATTGCTGAAGAGTCTGTACATGAGTCTGAAGGTAAGCCTTTCCCAAAGTAGCCCTCTAATAACACTGCATGCCTATGAATTACATCAAGATCCTAAACTGTAATCATTTCTTTCTTAAATTATGACATGAAATATTGGGAGAAAAAAGAGCTGCTCTTTCTCCTCAGATGTGACCTTCTGCCTGTTTTTAGCTGCTAAAACATTTCCTCGCTCCCTCTCTCTAGTGGCTTCTCTGGCTGACAGTGAAAAGGGTGAGGCAGAGGACAGGGTCAGTTTAAAGGTGAGAGATTAATGGATATTTATGAATGTATTCATGTTTGTACTTATTTACCAACTCCCATGGCCATACCCTCAGCATCTGAAGAGAAACCTCTACCTGAACTTTCACTCACTGGCCACTTTATTAGAAGCCCCTACTTAGTAGTTGCACTCACTGGACACTTGATTAGGAACCCCTGCTTTGCATTTTCATTCACTGGCCACTTTTTTAGAAAGGAAAGGATCCATTATGTAGAAGTACAGTTACAGACTTTTGCTCATCTGTTGCTGCACAGTCAGTCAGCCTGCCTCTACCTCATTCATCAATGGTCACTTTCTGGCCACAGAATATTATGTGGGTGGTGGACCATTCAGACACAACACAGTGCATCTGGCACAGCAGTGTTCTTGGGCTTTTACCTACATCGGTGTCACTGCTAGGTGGTCCAAAGAGTCCAGCCAAGAGCAGCTCTGTGATAGAGGTCTGCAGGGGCATGAAATTGAAACCCAAATCCAAATCCGTACCCACCACTTTGAGACCAGACCCAAGCCAGGCATGACTGGTGCTGCTAAATTTCAAACCTGAACCCAACCCAAACCCACTCGCACGTGCTAACAGAGAAAGATTATCACAGACATGGTTTTTGGTGGTTTGCTTTGTTGCTAAGCACTCGAGTTGACAGAAAATGCAGTACTCACTCATAAATAAAGGTACTAAACTGTCACTGAGGCAGGTCGCCTCTTGTCACTGGGGTGGTACCCTCAAGGGTACATCTCAGTACCTTTAGTCAGGGAACATAACTGTACCATAATCCACTGAAATGATATGTTCTAAGCTGTACTGACTCCACACACCCCGTCTCGCCTCCAGGCTTTTATTTTACTGTTCTGATTTAAAACATTCGGTTATGAAAAGGTACAAATACGAACTTTTCACCTGGAAAAACTTATTTAAGGTTCACAATCAGACCTTAAAACCACTGTTGGAGCTTTGAGGGAACATTTACACTGTTTGTACCTTGATGAACGAGAAATATACCTGAACAGAACCTTTATTTCTAACAGTGTAGTGGGATAAACTAGTATTTTACACATCTGTAATGCACCAACAGTCTTTATCATCAGTGTATTTTTGTGGATTTGCAGATTGAACCTGGTAGAGAACTACTCTCTTTCCTCTGAACATGTCTTTGCCCTGCATTTAGCTACCGCTGCTACTTGCAAAAATGCTTAACACACCTCAGGTGCGCTTAACAATCAAGGAGAAAGATCTGCTGTGGTCTTAATACAAAACCAACCTCACGGTTGTAAAAAGATGGTGCTTTGAAATCGGATTAATCTTTTTGATTAATGATACAATTCAAGGCAGTACATTGACTTTGGTGTAAGGTTAGACCGTCCAAAATTAGACCTGATTTGGACTCTACATGCGCTAGGTGCACGCAAGACCCTGCAAGTTTACTACATATGTTTTGGACATACCCAACATTATCTCACTTTTGGAAATCTATTTTTTATATTTCATATAAAATAAGCTACTCTCCCTATGTTGCATTATTTGGTGTTGCACAGCCAGATGTCAAAATAAATAATTATAAATGCAACATATTGGCGACCTGTCCAGGGTGTATCCTGCCTTACGCCCAATGACAGCTGGGATAGGCTCCAGCACCCCACCGCGACCCAGAAGGATAAGCGGTTTAGATGATGGATGGATGGATGGATACTTCAGTTTGTAGGTCTGGAGGGTGGGTGGGTTTTGAGAAATGGGACTGTTTGTTTTTTGTATATTATGATATCTTTAATAAAAAGACCTTGATCAAAAAAAGAAAACAAGCCCAAGCTGAGCCCTGTAAGTGTTCAGTGCACGAACACACATTTCAAAATAAACTGCGTCCTATTTTTGTGGTTCTTGTAGGCACGTCATGGTAAAGTCAGGCTGAGGACTGCTTTTTTGTACCCCTTATCCTTTTTTCTGCCTTTCTCATTTTGTCCCTCTTACACCTCTTATTCCTTTTTATCTTCAACTTTGTTTCTCAGTCCATCCTCTGCCGTCCTCCCCTGCAATATCTCTCTCTATCAGCACCGTCTCTCACCCTCCATGCTTTCTTGCACTGATAGTGCTGAGAGTATCATGGATTAACCTTTTAAGACTCGGTCATTTATTACAGTCGTACTGCAGGAGGTTAGAAAACTCACTGTCACATATTCCCAACAAATAATATCTCACATCATCTGTGTCTGTCCAGGTCCAGATTGACATTATTCAATAGAAGTTTCCATAACACTTGTGTATGTGTGTGTGTGTTTTTAGGCCCCAAGGCGCATTGAAGTTCACTCCATTCACACATACGTAGCGCTGTACAAGTTCCTCCCTCAGGAGAAAAATGACTTGGAACTACAGTAAGTGACACACTCGTCCATCTGTGTGTGCGCTTGTTTGTTTCTTTGTCCTTGTATGTCTAATTTACTCTCTTACATACACACACACACACACACACACACTCAGTCCTCCCTGAGACATCATCACTTCCCACTGCAGAATGAAATTCTGATGAGGAAGCAGAAACTGACACCAAACTCTAATCCCAGCGGATCTTGCAGGTTTTTTCCAAAGCCCCGTGTCTCAAGAGCAGTCCAATGTCAGCGCCTCCCTGCACCGAGGCAGCGAACCACTCAGGCTTATGTTTCAGAACGAATTACTCGTTTTCTCAAGATAGCTCGAGCCATTCAAGCTGTTTAATTAACAGCAGCCAGAATGATTTGATCCAGAATGTACTGATTCCAACTTAGTCAGTTTTCTTTAAGCTGTTATGGTGCATAGAGGTTCAAAACTGGACCTCAAATCCAAATCTAGTCATAGATTGATTTAACAGTTAAAAAAGCTTTTTTGGTTCATGAGCTTAACTTTAAATTCATGAATAGGATATACTTTACACCTGTTTGCCTACAAAAGATGTTTCCAGACAGATCAAATTTGTGCTTTAAATGTAAAACTGAAAAAGGAACGTTCTTTCATGCCTTTTGGCAATGTAAAAAAATTGGCACGTTATAGGACGGAGTACAGATTAGGTAGAAAATATTTTTCAAACAGGATTTCAGAAGTCCCCTGCCCTGCATCTTTTGGGAATAGGAGCAGAACATATTTTTGATACTGATGGCAAATTTTTGTTTCTAATATTTTCATTTCTGGCAAAACAATGTCTCCTAATTCGATGAGCCAGCCCCACTTCACCAACTGTTGAGTAGTGGCTTTCCCAAGCTGCAGCTCTGCTTCCCTTGGAAAAACTGACCTACGACCTGCGTCACCAAATGGACAAATTCTTGAGAAAAACTTTCTTGTGGGATTTAAATTATGATTGTTAATACTGAATAGGGTGCAATTAAAAAAAAATCATACGGCTGAGATGTTTCCCTGTTTTTAGATAAGAATAGAAAGACTGTTGAAATAAAACTCACATATAATAGAAGTCCATTGGCTGAATTCCTATAGCACTAATTTTAAGATTGAATGATACAGATTTTCAATTTAATTAATACAAACTTAAGAAATATCTTTGTCTTATTCATGGCAATGTTCTTCAAAAATGAATGTTTACTGACCAAATTCATCCACCCATTGGATCCTGTTATAGGTGTTTATCAGGTCTGCAGGTTTTCTGTTCATCTCCAGAGAAACAAGCCTGAATTATTGTATTATTGGAAGTTGCCCATACGATACAAACGCAGCAGAGAGAGATTAGGTTGAAGAGTGCAGACGTTTTCATTTAATGGACTCCTTTTCATGACTTCTGTGTAAACAAAGCGTGGCAAATCTGTAACACCTAGACTTCAGAGGCTATGTTTTGAATATTGTGCAAATGGTTTATTGTCCTAGCTTGCGCTGGCTTTGTCTCTCCCAGTTTTGATATTGTTTTGGCAGACGAGGGGATTCAGCGTGCTCAAGTGAACTGTGCTGAACTAACAGTCTGTGTGCGGAGCATTAATATGCATGGAAAAGGCAGCTTTGCACTGGACAAGCTGAAGGGAAAATCAAGAAAGGACAGGAAAAAGTGCAAGATAAAGAGGAAAGATGAAAAAAGAAGGCTGGATTTGTGATTAGTGGAAAGGTGGTGGATGAGGGGAGTGTGAAGGGGCTACACCCTTAAAAGAGAGAGAGAGATGAAAGGAAGAGAGTGGAGTAAAGACAAAGAAGCATTGTGGCGAAAAGCTCCCTTTCACCATCTGCTGTGACTGCGGGGGGTGGAGAGGGGTGTCATGCTGTTCAGATGCAGCGGGGTCCGCAACACAGTGTGAGTCGATGCAGAATAATAAAACACAGTGCAGTACAGCGGACCAGCGCACTAGGCTTCTGCAGCAAGGCAAAACTAGGCTGCTTGACTTTTATTATTTTACTGAATACTCACACAAAATTTCTCACAAAAAAGTTTTCTGATGATCAAGATTCTGTAGACAGACTAACCGGCTGTGTGTCAGATATTTCTCAGTGGACGCTGCAAAATTTTCTACAATTAAATCTCGAAAAAAATCACGAGAAATACTGATCATTGGTATAAAAACTCAGAGAAAAACGTTTTATGAGAAACTTGGTTCTTTAGCTTCATATACCCAACCTGCAGTAGGAAACCTGGGTGTGATCTTCGACTCTGAGCTCTGTTTTATCTATATGTAAACACAGTCACTAAAGTAGCATATCATCATTTGAGAAATATAACTGAAGTTCAGCCTTTTCTCTCTCAGAGCAACGCAGAGAAACTTCATGTGTTTGTTACAAGCTGAGTTGATCACTGTAATGATCTTCCTACTGGACATCGTAAGAAAACAATACATCCTTTACAACTCATACGACATGTGGCAGCATCCTAACAAAAACTAAACAGAGAGATCAGATCAGTCCCGCTTTAAAAGAGCTGCACTGGCTGCCTGTTTCGTTCAGGATAGATTTTAAAGCTCTGCTACTATTTTTTAAGGCTCTAAATGACCTTAAAGCTCTGCTTACGTCACAGAGCGTCTGTCTGTTTATGATCTTAGATCTGCAGATTCTGACCTTCTGCAAACACCTTGTGTAAAATACAGAGAACATAGAGAGACTCGTTCAGTTATTCTGCTTCTAAACTGTGGAGCTCAGTTCACCTTTTGTTAGACAGTCAAGCTCAGAGCTCACTTTTAATAAACATCTGAAAACGCAGCTCTTTAACTCAGCACTTCATTAAAACTCTACGTTTATTTTTTAATTTGATCTGTCTCATTTTCTTATGTGATTCTAAATTATTACTCGTAATTTCTTGTATAACTGTTTTTTTACCACCTGTAAAGCACTTTGAGCTGCCACCGGCATGAAAAGTGCTACATAAATAAAAATTATTATTATCATTATTATTATTGAAAAAGAAACCGTGATAACACTTACAGTTGGCCCACCCACACTTCACCCACAAATGCCTTTATTTTAAGCTACTGATACAGAACATAACTCCCTTTCGACCTAGTGAGAAATTGAAGTGCACAAGTTTTTGTCCAAATAATTCTAATTTAAAAAAAGCTTTATTTTTATGCATGTGAAACACTTAACTTTTTGGTTTTATTTGGAGAGGAACATCTGTCAGATATTCTGACAGCTAAAAACGTTAATGGTTATGTTATTGTAACTCAAACACAGCTAATATTGAAGCACATATACCACATGGATAGGTTCGTTTTACTCCAGGCTCACTGCTTTTCTAAGCTTCACACTTTCTTCACACATTTATTCTGTTACTCTGCATCTTCTTTCTCATCCAGTGCCTCCTGTATGAATGTAACTGCTAAGATGACCAGTCTGAATGTAGTTACCCTGATTTATTTGTTTGAAGGGTAAAGTTGGCATGTCCTAAAGACATGATTATGAGGACATTACAGTACAACTGCCATCTTATTTCTCTCTGGCTTCTCCTGTGGCAGGCCGGGTGACCGTGTGCAGGTGATGGATGACTCAAACGAGGACTGGTGGAAGGTGAGTGCAGTGCCTTACTAACAAAAATGAACATAAATTAATGACACAGGTGTCTCGTTGTAGCAGGGTGTATATAATGTACTATTACAGGTGTAACAGTTCAAATTTTGATTAAAGTAGCGATTTGTACATGATTTCTTTGGTTTTTGATTTTGTTTTTAATACACTCACTTAACAAAACATAACAAAATGCTAAAAATGATGATCAAGGAACCCAAAAGTGAGATAACACAGCCTATTACATATGCCGTGTTTAAGAGCCTCAAGGCTAAAGCTTTAGCGTTAGCATTAACTGTTGCTAAGTCAGTCTAGTTAACTGATAACCGATATCTTTAATCCTCTTTGGACTGAGCACCCAACAACAGGACCTGCATTTTCTGAAAGGAAAAACTTGTGGTCTTGTTTTCTCTTTCGAAGGTCAAAATCAGACACTCCTTTTGAATGATTTTTTACAGAGACCCACTGGTGACATCCTGTATAAATAAAAATAATGCATGGCCATGACTTAGTAAGGCGTGATCTCGTTCCCATGCCTTACTAAGTTGTGGCCATGCATTAGGATCTTGACCACGTGTTATTTTTATTTATATGGGACGTCACCAGCAGGGCTCCGTAATTTTCAAATTTAATTCAAGACTATACACCCCTATAAACTCCTAACCTGCTTCTGGAAATTGTAATCCTGCCTTACACTCATAGTGAACTACTTTCCCCCAAAGTTCTCTTATCTACCACCCTCATTCCATTGCTCAAAAAAATAGTGGATAGTGAAAAATTTATTAATTTCTAATGTAGCATCTTTATTAATGTGTAAAGTTTTTGAAAGGAGTGGGATTCTAGTGGGCTGGTTGTCATTTGCATTAAGCTAAACTTTGATCAGATTTGTATGTCATCTCAGTTGACCACGTCACAAAACTCGTGGTTTTAGCTGAAGTACCTGTAGTTTTATATTCGTGTTGGAAAGCCAGTAGCTTCATCTTTCCATCATGTTTTGAAACACACAGTCAGACTGAACACATACATCACTGGCTACCTTCATATCAATATTCTATATAACGCTGTTGTCGGAAGAAATCCTTGTATCTCCAAAATGGTAACTTTACAGGAGAAGGAAAAACCTACTTTACCAGACGTCTTTCCAAGTCATTTTGGGCCGTTTCTTTGGGTCCATTCATCAAGAAATTTACACACGATGTAAAGGGCAGCAGACATTTTCAAATTATGTCAAAAACTGAAATATGACAAAAATGGAGATACAAGGTTTTTCCCGACAGCTGCGATAAGCTATATTAGTGTATTAATCTCTGTGTAGTAATTAGTCTGTCTCTGACCTCACAGCGTTTCAATTTAAGTACATTCTCAGTTCTTTACAAAACAACCCAGTGCAACATAAAATCTCACATTTTTCCATGATTTGCTTTGATTAAATTCGACACAGGTCAGAATTATTTTTTGAAATATACTGGATGTACAAATGTGACTGAAGAAACTACACAGTAATGGAACGTAGACACTAAAAACATTACCCCAAGCCTTTTTTCACATTTGGAAATAGTCTTATAATTTTATTTTGGTCAAAACTTAACGCATATTGAATATCAGTATAATCAGTTCTAACACTTTCTTCACATTTTCAATCTCTGCTACTGCTACTATTCCACTTTTTCCATAACATCATGTAGATACTGTGTGCGCAACTGGAGTCTGCTCTGGATCTCCAAAGAGTCTCTGCAGTGAGATGAAGCTGTATGGTTTTGGGGCCATTTTTATTCCTTCTGCATCGCTGTATCCCAGTATCACCCAAGAAGACTGTAGATCTAACACCACAGATCCAATACACAAGTGTATCTGCTTCTCAGAGTGATGGGAAAAAATGGACTGAATGTGCTTCAGGGTCATTCTACAGAAACGTCCACTTTTCTGTCTCTCCATAGGAGTCAATGGTGTTACTGATCCTCATTGGTGTTACACATGAGAGAGGTAACACCCAAGACAGTTTAATCAAAAATGCATTTTACAAAATGGCTGAAACAGAGCATCAAACCACATGTTGTCAATCATGGAATATCCACTAAAATATGACCTCTACTAAAAGCTTCATATGAAATCATGAGCTAAATGAGGAGATCTCTGATAACTGAAAGACACAGTGGACTCACCATGTGCTTTTCTTCATAGATCCTCAGAAAACAGGTAAAAGGAAGGCAAGTGATGTCATCAGTGTGACTTTTATTTCAAAATAAGAGATTTTTCGTTACGCAGTAACACCAGAGACACGACTCCTGGGGACCTTTCATTATATATTTATAATATTTATTTGGCATTTTTTTTCTTTATGTCATTTAATTCATATATTTCAGAGTCATGTATAGATTATTGTGGTTAAAAATGTCAAAAACATGCTCTTTACCTCAAAATATGGCCTCAGCCTTTACACATGACTGTGGGGACGAGCTCTTCTGTGGTGCTTGGAATTCTATATGATTGATTTAAAAACCAATATTGCTAAATTGAGGCTCAAGAAGGTGATTGTTTTATTTTAAAATATAAATAAATTGTAACCCTAATGTGTTTTTCAAGTGTAATATATCTGTAAACACTATGGACACAAAAATGGACGTTTCCATAGAATGACTCTTCAGCAAAAGTAGCCATATTCTCACAGCTTTACTTTCTCAATCACTGCCTTCTCTCATCTCTCCTCTCTTTCCTTTCACTTATCACCCCACCTTCCATTTGAAGCCCACTGCTCTGAGTCCTGATCGAACACAGGCTGAAGCCAGTGTGAAGCCCCATTTTTCATTCTTCGGGACTGAAGCGCTCGCTGCTGCTATTCATAGAGTCCTCGTCCACAATAAGAGAGCGTAATGGCTTTGGTGGAGGGCTTTGACAAGGAGGAAACAGCGCTTAATGAAAAATTAATAAGCTTTCCTTTCCCTAATGGAAGAGAGGCCCTGAACGAGCGCAAAGCGAAATGCCAACTCACCCTGGAATAAACAAAAACGCACGTAGGCCAACGCACGCATAAGTGATATGGCCTTGTGGACACACACAGCCGTCGTTTACTTTCTCCCTCTGCTGCAGTCTCTTAAGACCTTACTAAGGCTCAGTCCCATACTTAACATCTTGTAAAGTTTTGCTGCACTGACCGTCACTCGGTTTTAGTTTGAAAGAAAATGATTTACATACATTTGGGAAAAACAGACCAGAATTAGGACTTGCTTTTAAAACACCCATATCCTAAATATTTTGAGCATTTTATGTTTTGCCTGAAGTCCATATATATAGGTTTACAGTTTTACCATTTTCCAACCTTTCTTTATCTCTTAGAATTAATCAGGCTCTTCTTGTTCACAGTACCTTTAACCCTTGTGTGGTGTTCAGGTCTGTGGGACCCATTTTCAATGTTTACCAAAAGAAAAAACAACAAACACTTCAACACCACACAAGGGGTAAGACTGTTTTATGTAAATGAGCTCTGTTCTGATTGGCTGCCCTGTCTCATTCAAGAAGCAGTCCATGCATTATAACATCTGCATGAATGAGTGGGGCTAAACGGCTGAAGGCTGAATAGGTAGATAGATGAAAATGTGTGGTGAAAATAAAAACAGGTTCTATGTGCCACTGAGTCCATACAGTCCATATATGGAAACTAAGCTGCAAAACAGCCCATTTTGAATGAACTGCTTTTGGGAATATCACAAAAAACAACACATTTTCATCCATCTCCCTATTCAGCTACAGCAGTTTAGCCCCATTCATTCAAGAAGCAGTCCATGCTAAAACACTCTTTATAACATCTACATGAATGAGTGGGGACATTGTACTCTGGGCCCTTCAGTGCATTCATTTACAATACTCTAAATGAAAGCTGAATGAGTGTCAAATCATCATGTCAAGAAAAGTTATGAATCAGAATTACTGCAAAACAAGCCTTGGACAAACTCTGAAGGACAACTTCAGTCAGGCGTAACCCGTACAAAAGAACGTAATAATAATAATAAAATAAAGGACTTGACGATGTAATCACAGTGTAATGTAAGCAGTAATAATCAGCGATCTCTTCATGACCCTTTGATGCATATTTCATTTGACAGAGTGTGTTTTATGAGTCATACAAATCAAAAGGCCCCAAGAGAAAAATCTCAGAGAATTTTGGTTGGGGTTGCTATGGAGACTGACTCTGTGTGTGTGTGTGTGTGTGTGTGTCTGTCTGTCTGTCTGTCTGTCTGTCTGTCTTTCAGGGGAAGAGTCGTGATAAAGTTGGCTTTTTCCCAGCAAACTTCGTACAGAGGGTGCGTCCCGGGGAGAGAGTGTGGAGAGTCACTCAGGGCTACCACGGCAACCGCGAGAAAGGTCAAATGACCGTGAAAGAGTTGCAGGTAAGTTGATGCATTGACGCGCACACACAGAGGAAAATATGACTCATGCAGACTCGACAGGACTGAGCTGTATTTAATTTTCCATTCTTTAAAGCCTCCATTTCTGTTCTTCAATTAAGGCTTCTAGATCCTCCACGGTGTTTATGCAGTACTTCTGCTTACATTTTGTTTATTTCTCTCATAACTGAGAAATCTTATCAAATGTTCAGATTCTAAACTGTATACCAGGGGTCGCAACCCAAATGTTAAGAAGAGCCATTTTGTCCTTTCAGCTAAAATCAAACCACCTTGGGAGCCACAACGTTTTATGTCCATTTTACCATCTTGGCTGTAAATATGTCTCAGTATGTGCTGATGAACTAGTATAGACTAAAAAATATAAATGAAAACACAGACTCACTTTGTTCTGCTTTAAGCTTTAGCTCAGCTATAGCCGCTTTTCTCACATCTCTGGCAGAAAACTTTTCCACGCAAGTAAAATAGTTTCTTGTAAAATGTCTCTGTGTTCCACTTTTTACGATCTCATTTGCCAGCTTCTCATTCAAATTTTCCCGTTCCACCTTAAATGGTGCCCCAGGCACCCGAATGTAACTGCTGCACAATTTAAGGTGGAACGGGAAAATTCGAACAAGAAGCTGGCGAATAGGAAACTGACTTCAGCTTTGTGACTTTTTAGTGTTCGTCTTAAATCTCTCTCTTTGCCGTTTCGTTAGCTACTAGCTAGGTAAGATTGTTGTCTGTGTTGCTATGGTGACCAGCAGTCTGCGCTGATCTTCAGGGTTAAAGGGTGAATTAGCAGTTCTACATTAACTCCAGAGTTTAAGACCATTTATAGTTAAACTGTGTTGAATGATCAGCAGAGCTTTATTTTACTGTAAAGGAGGATTATTTTATTTTTACCTACAAATCTGATTCTGCTGTGGAGCCACAACAGGGACAGTAAAAGAGCCGCATGTTGCCGACCCTGATCTATACCATATTTGTGTTTGAAAGCAGAAGAGAAGATATTTTACTGTGATTTGATTTGAAGTGTTCTACAGTTGTTTGTGGAAGAAATCATCGAAACAATCAGGAAAAAAGTGCAGACAGAATATAATCAATTGTATATGTGATCCGTGCGATTAATTATGCAATTACACTGAAATTATGCACAAACATATTCAGACTCATCTACACAGCATACTTCTTGTTGTAGGAAGCACTTTAACAGGTTTCATTTCATTCAGATAAAATTAAATTACATAAATGATTAATATTAACAAAGCAGAATAACAGTTCAGATGTAGAAAAGCAACGTTCCTCATCAATCCAAACCTTCTCTTCAGATCAGCCTCTGCCCTGTTCCTGTTTTTGTAGCATATAACAAAACAATTGTAATGGCACTTGAAATTTAATTGTTAAAATTTTCAGCAGTGTAATTTTTCTTCTACTTCTCTCTCTCTCTCTCTCTCTCTCTCTCTCTCTCTCTCTCTCGTCTCAGATTTGTGTGGGTAAAGGGGAAGAGACGGACGGTTTTCTGAAGCTGACCAGCGGAAAAAAGCGCGGCCTCGTGCCCTTGATGTGTTTGGTGGAGATATGAACCATACTCTTTTTCCTCCACCCAGACTGGGGAACGTCCTCACCTCTCACACCCCAACGGCAGGGACGCACCACACATGCATACACACACACACTTACCTGTGCACACACACAGACATATATACCGAAGAGAGGGAGCACATGGATGTTGCTCAGTAGAGGACCCACCTCAGCCTCCAGTGGACAGTATGGAGATTTTGTTGTTTGTAGAAGCAACGGAGAGATGAAGTGGATAGATGAGGCTTTCAGGAGGCTGAAGTATTGGCGTTTAACCGGCTGCTCTGACCTCTGACCTCTCTCACCAACGGAATAACCTCTGTTGGACCAGTTGCACTGTATCTACTGATCTGCTGTATGTGTGTTGGGCGACCCATTATAGTAGCAGAATAACTGTAGATGACCTTTGTCTATGTTTTTAGTCTTATACCACTGTCCATCGTGCAAATGGACGTTTGGCTGTGCTGTCTTCTGTACTGATGTTAATGTGGCTGTTAAGGAACGACGTCTAGAGGGAAATGGTTTGCGTGATGTCATTTCCATGATGGTTTTGTTTATGAATAGCTTTTTTGGATGATGCTGAAGGCTGACAAAAGGAACGAAAGGGTTGTGAGTATATAAAACTATATATGACTCCTCAAAGTGATATGAATTGTACATGTAGGACGGCGAGCAGAAAGCTGTTTCTTTGTGAATTCAGTGTCTCAGCCTGTGATGAACTAGGTTCACATGATCCAAACAGTAATTTCTAAATATTTTCACCATATTGGGCTGTGGTCATATGTCAACTCAAGTCTTCTCTCTTAAGTCTCTTTGTCTGTATGTAGTTCTGCCTAAAAGGGCTTTTGCACTTACCACAGTAATCAGTTTTTTCCCTGAAGCATTACCAAGGCATCTTTTTTGCCACTACATTAGACTCTCTCTCCATCTGTCAGTTTTCTTTATACTTCCCACTTCTCCTGCTCTCCAAATCTTATCCAGTTCTTGAAGCCCATTTCTTTCACACAGAATATGATGATAGTCCAAGATGACCTTCCAAACATCCCAGAGATTCTGACTGAATCTTCTTCCCTGTGGAGTATTGTAGTGGAACAAGCCAGAGCTAGAAGGAGCAAGGTACAGTTTCAGCAGAATTAGTAGTGTACAAAAATGTGCTGCATTTACCCTGTATGTTCAAAAGAGAAGTGCATTAGCGTTCATTTATTTATTTATACATATACATACATCATCTAAACCGCTTATCCTTCTGGGTCACGGTGGAGTGCTGGAGCCTATCCCAGCTGTCATTGGGCGGAAGGCAGGATACACCCTGGACAGGTCGCCAGTCCATCGCAGGGCAGACAGACAGACATACACATTCACACCTAGGGGCAATTTAGCATGTCCAATCAGCCTGACTGCATGTTTTTGGACTGTGGGAGGAAACCCACACAGACACGGGGAGAACAGGCAAACTCCACACAGAAATGACCCTGGTCGCCCGGCCGGGAATCGAACCCAGGCCATTCTCGCTGTGAGGCGACAGCGCTACCCACTGCGCCACCGTGCTGCCCTTTTATTTATTTATTATTTTATTTTATTTAACAGCACATTAGCTAATCACTGGAGATTCTCTGCAATTCACTGTTTGTATTATAGCAAGTAGACCTACCTACATATTTGTTCTTCACTCCATAATTAATTACATTATCATCCACTCAGCCATTAACTTAAGAGGGAAATCAGATCATGAAGGTAACTCTATAATTGTGGAGTAGGAAAACAACATACACTCCACAATGGCCACCAACTATTTTGCAAACTGTAGCCTGGTTATTAAAAACACAGTTATACTTGATAGCCAAAAGTATGTGGACACCCAAACATTCCATCCACATGTGCTTGTTGAAGATCTCATTCCAAAACAGTGGGCATTGATGTGGCCAACACTGTTCTGGGAAAGCTTTTCATTTGGTTTCAGAACATACTTCCATTCAGGCACAAGAGCAGAAGTGAGGCTGAGCACTGATGTTGGGCCCACAATCATCTGTAAGACTGCCTGATGGTGAAGCATGATTCATCACTCCATTCACTCTCAGAAATAAAGGTAGTAAACTGTCACTGTGCCTCTCTTGGCACTGGGGTGGTACCTTCAAAGGTACATCTCAGTACCTTTAGTCAGGGAACATAACTGAACCATAAATCCACTTAAATGATATGTTCTAAGCTGTACTGACTCCACACACCCCGTCTCGTCTCCAGGCTTTTATTTTACTGTTCTGTTTTGAAACATGAAATATGAACTTTTCACCTGGAAAAAACGTTTTTAAGGTGCACAGTTGGACCTTAAAACCACTGTTGTACCTTTGAGGGAACATTTACATTATTTGTAGCTTGATGAACGAAAAATGTACCTGAACAGAACCTTTATTTCTAACAGTGTAGAAGTCCAGTGGCAGTGTGCTTTACACCACTCCAGCTGACACTTTGCATTGCACATGGTGATCTTAGGCCTGTGTGCAAATGCCCAATCTGTGAAGCTCTCGACTAACAGTTGTTGTTAGCCCTGCTTCCATAGACAGTTTGGAACTTGTTAGTGGGTGTTACAACAGTATTTATGCTCTATGTGCTTCAGTAATCTGCAGTTCTGTTCTGCATCTTGTCGTTGTTCCCAGATGTTTCCACTTAAGAGCCACAGTGCTCACACTTGTCTGGGGCAGCGAGGGCAAGAAAGAAATTGGTTGAAAGCTACATTATTAGAAAGGTGGTATCTTATGAGAGTACTATGTGGAAAACCACTGTGCTGGCAGTGTTTGTCTATAGAGATTTCTCGGCTGCTTGATTGATTTTATGAACCCTTTATCGTCAAACCCATTATTTGGAAATGGTGTCCACATACTTTTGGCCATATATCTTTTTTGTATAGGACAGTTCATATAAGAAGTTACCCTATTTACTAACATAAATGTGTCACAGTGGTTATCAGTAGAGTTGGGCCAAAAACAATGCTGAACCAGTGTCCCAGATTCCAACCCTAAAATCTGATGTGCAGTTTTGGAATAGCTTCAGCTGAATGGACAGTCAATCAAGAGCTTCTGGTTGCCTTTTTTTAATTCAGAAAGAACTTTATTAGTAGTCCCTGCAGCCCTTCTGAACAGTTCAGCCAACAGTCGGCACAAATTATCGTGTAAACGAGCAGCTGGAGCAGGAACAAAACAACAGTTTCAAGTGTCAATTCTTCAAAGCCTGAATATGCATGATAAAACCTGCACACGACTGGCAAAGTACATGAGAAATGTACCCACCAACTTCAGAAACTATCAAAGATGAAACAAAACTAGAGCAGAGAGCACAAAAATGCAACTGTAGAGAGAGAAAACAACTTCTACATTAATGGATAACGCCAAGCATGGCTTTGGCCTTCGCAGCATGAGAAATCCACAACTCATATTATTAGTGAGCTTACGAAAGCCTTAAGGCAGCTGCCAAATGTCATGAATGAGTGATTGTCATTAGGAGGTTTTTAACAGCTGAATCATGCATGCACTGAAAAGCGAAGAGGAATGATTCTCTCTTTGGGAGAAAATGCAAAACGCTTTGGGACCAGATGGCGTAAAATGGAAGCGAATCTCCCCGCCACGCTTACTCTTCGTTCTTTGTCTGTTTTGACTTTTCATTTGTCTAGTATAGTTTGTTACTCTTACAAAACATGTATATTTATTCGAGCACACCTATATTCAACGGCATACGATACTCTTCCTGAAACTTAGCAATAATCCTTTTCTCTTTGCTCTGGAAGAAGCCAGTCTATTGTAAAAAGCTAAAAATTCAGTCACTGTGGATTTTTACGCCACTGGTTTACCAGAGAAACCGTTACGTACACCACAGCCTCATGGCACCTTTATTAAATACATATTCGTGTTAAAATTATGAAGCACACGATTTAAAATGTTCCCATGTGGGAAGCACTCTGTGATAATTGCTAAGCTTTGAGTGGGATAGTCACAGTACTGATCTAGTTTAGAAATGTAGCATTGCACAGGGTGAATGAGAACAGCCAATGTTCTGAAAAGCTGATTTACATGACCTTCATGACAGAAATCAAGGTTTTGCTTTTTCTGATTCCCACGTCTGTGGCTAGAGATCCAGGTCAGAAGCTACTGATACCTCATAATATACAGGCTTGGGTATATCAAATCCGTAATCAAACACCAACAAATCCAGGCACAGCACTCGCCCTCCCCTGTGCGCATGTAAACATCCTGAATCCTGATATGTTTCAATAAATATGCAGGAAAGAAGCTGGATGTTGCGTCTTCTCTGTCTCCGCAGTGTCGTGTTGGTCAGTCAATTTCAATCAGTCCACAGTCACACTCTGTACTACGCTGAACATTTTGTGGATCGTTTATTTCACGCTTTAGCCACTTTCAAACATGCTCTTGGAAATACAGGCAAGGAATGTTACCATCACAAGAACGTCAGCGACTGCCTGTCCCACGAAAATTAGATGCCTCTCCAATCACTCACAGTCTTGAATGTTGCTCATTTTTGATAAATTTGGAAATATATCACATAAATATCAAGAAGCGTGGTGTCTATGGTGTACATGTCACTCCTTAGACATATTCTAATCCTTCAGTGTCTTTGTTTTGGGAGAGTGAATTTAATGTTAAACCTAGTTGGGTTACGGTGTGGAAGGATTGCTTCATTACTTCAAAAAGCCCAGCACACCAAATGATTCAAGTTCATAAAAAAGCATATCGCTGCTGTCAGAAAAAAACCTCTTATCTTCAAAAAACTTTACAGGAGAAGGAAAAAGTTTACTCCTAATGTAAGTCAGTGAAACCAGAATTTTTTCCGCGTCATTCTGGGCCGTTTCTTGCGTTCCATTCTTCATTAAATTTACATACAATGTAATGTATTTTGGGAAAATCTGTACACAAAGATCCTTGTACTTTCCTTTTACTTGATGGCTCTGCAGAATTGTTTTCTACTCATCAGAAAACAATTTTTTTAGCCAGCCTCACAGCAGCCAGAAAGACAATATTGAAAATATGGTTCGAACCCTACATTCCTGCGCATCTTCTTTGCCTTACTTATTTTCGGGACTTTACTCTTTTGGAATGTACAACAGCGAGAATAAATAAGCCCAAAATAAGAACAGTTGTGTTCTGGTCAAATACTGAGAAGGAACGGTTAAAAGTAATGGAAGTATAGTGACCTTTGTTAACTGATTTGAGTGTGAAACTCCACACTGAGTTCATTCATTCATTCATTTACTTTCATATGTATGTCTGCTCCTCTCATGTGAGTATAACACTGACCAACACTACTATCATCATTAATATTACTATAATTGGTATCTAACAGTAACTATTAACTCTATACTATATCTATAAGCACACTTGGCCAGCAAAACTGATTCCGATTGTATTGTGAAGAACTCTATGGGCATATCTTGGGCTTTTTGAATACAGTTCTTATGTTCTATATGTTATTATTTTACAAAAATATCCAGGTATATGTATTTCATATTCAAATATGTTTGTCAGGTGGGAGAAAAAATGACAAAGAAACTAAATGAAATCAAACCACCATGAAACGCTGTTCTATATATGCTTAAAACGAGCTCAGTGTATGTCTTTCTGATACACAGCACCGCTACAGGCCCAGTCTAGGCAAACATGCAAAATATGGACCAATCAAGCTCTAAATACCGTGCCGTTCTGACCAAAAAGATGTCTTTTGCTTTGAAACATTCTCCGTTTGAAGTAAACTGCCAGCTTAGAAGTCTAATTTTTTGTTTTTCAGAAGAATGACAGAGAAGGTGAACCAAAACATTTGGACTATGAGGTTTCCTTTTCACAGTGACACTGAACTTGGTGGCAACGTATTGGCGTTCATTGAAAGCCATCAGCGTTGTGAAGATGCTGGGTTCTGACATGCGTTCAAGCTTGTTAGCCTATGTTGCCCAGAAGTGCCTCAACCCAGTCTTTGTTTTATTTGGTGGAGTTGATCTCTTGTGCTAATCAGAAAGCATGCAGATGCTGCAGATGATGTCCAATGATGTGTTGAAGTAACCTCCACCTAAGCATATTCCGAAGCTCAAAGATCAGTGCGTCCTCACTGTCTCTGTTTTTAGCCATTGGAACTGTC